AAAGAGTCACCTTTCTCCACCCCAGTCACAGCTGTGGCAACCAAAACACTGAACTGCCTTGGCATAGCTTGCCCGTGGGGAGGGCACCGCAAGGCCCAAGGACTCACACTGTAACAACATGCAGCTCAGAGCAGGTCCCCAGCCCCTGCTGTAGGGGGAGGCCTAGGGGAATGAAGCAGAAACCCCAGACCTGCCTCACACTGGCTGTGTGACTTAAGGCAAGTGACTCAACCTCTCTGAGTTTTCTCATCTGTAAAGTTGAAGTATCCTGCCCAGCCGGTGTGGCTCAGTGGTTGAGTGTTGACCAGTGAACCAGGAGGTCTCGGTTTGATTCCCAGTCAGGACACATGCCCAGGTTATGGGCTTGATCCCCTGTGTGGGGTGTGCAGGAGGCAGCTGATCAATGATTCTCTCTCATCATTGATGTTTCTATCTCCCCCTCTCTGAAATCAAGGGAAACATATTTTAAAAATATATAAAATAAAAAATGGAGCATCGCAATGACTGTCTTAGAGGGGTGTAAGGACTTGCCATAGAGCAAAGCTCAAGATCCAGGTTCCTGGGTCTGTGGCTGAGAGGGAAGGGGGTCTGGATTCCCCAGAGGCCAGGGTGGAGGGGAGCACGCCATCAGTCGTCCTCCCACCCCCAATTCCAAACCAACACAAAGTGACTCCCCGCTGATCTCAAGGGCAGAAGAACCCACTGGCCTAGGTCACAGGCAACCCTGGATGCCGGCGCTGGAAAGGCACAGAGATGTCATTTCACAGATGAAAGAGGCTCAGAGAGAACGTAAGTCCCCCGCCTCCCCCTACCCCGCCCCCACCCTCCTGCCCCGGTCAGGACAGAGTCAAGACAAACTCAGTGCTGCCCCTGGGGAGGCCCACCTGGCTCTCACCCAGGCAGCCTCAGGCTGCATCTTCCCAGGATAAAGATCAAAGTAACCCTTCACTGACCAGGTGCCTCGCGGACTCTGGCTCCAGTCCCACAACCTGTGAAGTTGGGGTTAACATTCTCAGAGAATCAGAGGCACAGCCAGGCTGACTTGCCTAAGGGCACTGGCTGGCTATGGCGGACAGACCACTAGACCCGGGCAGCTGCCTTCTCTGTGAGCCTGGGGACAGGTCTCCCCCTGCATCTTCTAAAGGCAAGCCACCCCCTGAGTCAGGAGCCTTCACACCCTCCAGGACACTATCAGGCTGCGAAGTGGGCCAGGAGCTGAGGTG